GGGGAAAAAATTGGGGAGAATTTGGGGGGAAATCGGGGGAAAAATGGGGAAAAAATTGGGGGAAATTGGGGGAAAACTGAGGAAAAAAATTGGGGGGGAAATGGGGAAAAAAGGGGGAAAAATGGGGAAAAAAATGGGGAGAATTTGGGGGAAAATTGGAGGAAATTGGGGGGAAATTGAGGGAAAAAATTGGGGGGGAATGGGGAGAAGTTGGGGGAAACTGAGGAAAAAAATTGAGGGGAAAATGGGGAAAAAAGAGGAAAAATGGGGAAAAAATTGGGGGAAAACGGGGAGAAATTGGGGAGAATTTGGGGGGAAAAGGAATAAAATTGGGGGGAAATTGAGGGAAAAAATGAGGGAGGATTTGGGGGAAAATTGGGGGAAATTGGGGGAAAATATTGGGGGAAAATGGGGAGAAATTGGGGGGAAACTGAGGAAAAAAATGGGGGAAAATTTAGGAGAAAAACTGGGGGAAAATTGGGGTAAAATTTGGGGAAAAATTGGGGTGAAATGGGGCTAAATTGGGGTAAAATCGGAATAAAGTGGTCAAATTGTGTTCAAAGTGGGGTAAAATGGGGCTAAATCGGGGTAAAATGGGAATAAAGTTGTAAAAATGGGGTCAAATTGTGTCCAAATTGGGGTAAAATGGGAATAGAGGTCAATTGGGGTAAAATGGGGCTAAATTGGGGTAAAATTGGAATAAAATGGTCAAAACGAGGTCAGAGCGTGGCTAAAGAGAACAAAAAATAATTAAAAAGGGGAAAAAATGGGGCAAAGTACAATAAAAACTGGGCCAAACCAAGACTAAAAGAGACCAAAATGGGACTAAATAAGGCCAAGGAAGGAAAAAATGAGGGGAAAATGGCAAAAATGAGGCTGCCCAGCACCAAACCGGCAACAAATTCGGCCTAAAACACGCCTGAAATGGGGGAGAAAAGCGATTTAAACGTGTAAAAAGAGGCAAAACAAGGCCAAAAGGGGGTTCAAGGCCAAACAAAGCGTTTGGGACACGCCAGGGACTGGAGTTTT